CAAAATGCCCTTGATCGTTGGTCTTTTAAATGGTCCTGGAAAAATCAGTTGTACTTAGTATTAAGGCTATAAAGATGATTTCATTCAATTTACGCTCACTCAGCAATCCACATTCAGATACAGTCAGGAAAGTCGCTGTCTAATAAAGTGATATGATTAATCGAAATAATGTGAAAACGAATGCTTCAGCTTCTCGGTATTGAACGATGCTTTGTAAAGTCAAAGTTAACCACAGCTTAACAGATAGCAATGTAAAGTCAGATCACCACAATACAGTAGCTTTGTTTCCACTGTACCACCTCACCAACTCCCCCTGCTGAGTTCTGTGTTCACTGTTCAGCTGTTCAGCCACTGTTTGACCCATTTCCCGCTTCCCTCTGCCGAGGAAAACATCTCTCGAGTCTCGTTTTACCGAAACAATCACGGATTCTTCCTTTTAAAAGATCATTTGTGTTTATAAAGGATTGTCATATTTCAATCTTATAGGAGAGAGGTTTTGTTATAAATCCACCGTTATTGCTTCCTGTTTTCGTTATTATTTCTTTAGATACCGCAGGAATGTTCGATTTTATACTTATTGATTTAAATCTAACTAATTGCATGTTGTCGTATTTTTTGTCAACATCTTTTGTTTCGTAATATAATTAATTGAATGATTATCACACTGTATGATACCTCCTACCACCGATCACAAAATAGGCCTACTGTGTTTATTGTTTATTTGTATTTATTTATTTAATAACGTGCTGTATGCTAGGAATAGGTTAATGCAAAGAAATAATTTTTCTATCCAACATTCTCGACCTATTTTATTACTTTTCAAAACTTAATCCCTCAGTATTATTTTTCACTCCCCCCCCCTCCATAGATTCCCATATAAAACGAAACCTCAAGAAATACTGATAATGTTATATTTAAAGACATTTCCTAAGTTTGCTTGTTTACAAGTTATTAACTATTTACAAAACATTAAGTAGGCGATTCCTTATTTTCATTTCTCGTGACATAAACACTATGTAAGGAACATTTTGCCAACTTGTCCAACATATGAGTATATATCAACTAGAACAACGAAATGCAATTACCCAGTTCCAAAACCCATTTCACCAACAATGCCTCGTAATTCAATTACCAGTTGGTTAATTAACTCTGCTGGGCGTCGGTGTTTGTTTATACCATAGTAGTATATAGGGTTAGTGGGGGAATGGCATTGGGGTTTACCTCCATGCTTACTCTATCGTGGTGGTATGAATGGTTGTGTCGGTGTTTAGCGTCACTCAGCACGGTAGTCCGCCAGCATACCTCCATGGTTGTACCGTGGTGGTATAGTGGTGGTGGTATGAATGGTTGCGTCGGTGTTTAGCGTCGCTCAGCACGGTAGTCCGCCAGCATACCTCCATGGTTGTACCGTGGTGGTATAGTGGTGGTGGTATGAATGGTTGCGTCGGTGTTTAGCGTCGCTCAGCACGGTAGTCCGCCAGCATACCTCCATGGTTGTACCGTGGTTGTATAGTGGTGGTGGTATGAATGGTTGCGTCGGTGTTTAGCGTCGCTCAGCACGGTAGTCCGCCAGCATACCTCCATGGTTGTACCGTGGTGGTATAGTGGTGGTGGTATGAATGGTTGCGTCGGTGTTTAGCGTCGCTCAGCACGGTAGTCCGCCAGCATACCTCCATGGTTGTACCGTGGTGGTATAGTTGTGGTGGTATGAATGGTTGCGTCGGTGTTTAGCGTCGCTCTGGCTCAGCACGGTAGTCCGCCAGCATACCTCCATACCAATTAAACTGGACACCTCGTGTATTTATGGCCGGCATCTGCATACAGCCGCATTGTGCTGCCAGTGCCAGGACATTGGACACTCGTATCTGATCACAACAAAGCACCGCCCGGCTAAGTTGTGGGCGGCACCTGGCCATTTGGCGCATCCAGCGCGTTTGAAATTTTAAGTTTTTCGACGTCAATGAAGTTTTTTGTGGTTGATTCATTGCAAACACTCTTTATAGGCGTGGGTAATTGTACGTTTGAGGTATGATCTGTATGACTTGTAATTAATGCTTGTGTCGAGACCAATAAATAATTGCGTATAGTGTCTACTTTTTAACTCTTATTTGTATATGATATTTAAAATTGTTTATCACTTGAATGTTGAAGCTAATATTTAATCATTTTTGATAAAAGTACACGAGTATATACGAGGCTTTAAGAAATAAAATTTATATCACTATTCCCCTCCATAAACAGAAATTAAAGGGCATTGCTGAACACACCCTAAATTAGTAAACGTAATTGTTCAGGTATATGTAAATTCATTGTTCAACACTACTTGAAACTCATATACATGTATTGTTCCATAAATTATTTTTTCACATTCAACTCAACCTGAGAATGTAAAGATCCCTACAAAATTGTCCTGCACAGAACAGCCCACCTGTATCTTTTCGATTCAACCTTTTATTTTTCGTCCTGTATGTCATATATCTTTGTTCGTATATCAAGACCTAAACTAATTTTGTACAGACAATTTAAATGTGACCTTAGTGACAAACATAATATGAATATTTATTTTTACATGCTCATACTAATCTCTGCTCACATTTCAACACTTAATTGTTGTACCAGGTTCGCGCCAACAAGTAGATGATAGTTGTAGCTGTAGTGAATGTAAGCAGTTTGACCTGTTAACTAGAGTAGACTGAGTAGACTCGACGAGGTGTTGAGCAACGAATCGTGCGCAACGAGATCGGACTGTGAGTGCTCCAGTGCGCTCTCCGCTCACTCTGTATAATTGCCGATAATAACCACCTTCTCTCAACGCGGTTCGCGCCGCGCGCCGCTTGTTTGTGCTGTAAAAATGGTTCAGAGTGTCTAAATTCGCCATCTCAATTCGGATATGAAGAGACGTTTTTTAGTGCTATGAGTCCGGCCACCTTGGGACTCGGAGGCCTTCTAGGTTACGATTGCCGGATAATATCAATCAATGTGTTCGAAAGCCCATTATCTATCAGGTTGGAAGAAATCGTATATGTCGGTGAGAATGAAAGCTTGAGGGTCATGTAGGTCTTTTTAGTTTAGAGAAACCTCCTTATTTTTTCAACCGATCATAGCGGGTTTAAAATGTTCATCACGTAGCCGGATGAAAGTAAATTATTGTTTTCACACAACGACCAGTTAAATCGATACCGGTTGAAAGGTTTACGGACAAAAGTGATGCTGAGCTACTCATTGAAAATCATATTAACAATATCTTCTACTTAAACTATCGATACAACCCAATAGTCAATACCTACCTCATACATTCCATGAGTTAAGTAAGCCAATTGTATCCATCTTCGACTGAATGTTTTTGTGACATGGCAACAACGCCAGCTGGCTAGGATGCTGGGATGCTGGGAGGATTAGACGAGTTTCTCTAGTCAGAGTCGCTGTCGTTGTCGTTTGACACTCGCTAATCGATGATTGGCTGTCAACATACCGCTGCTTTGATCATCGGCTCAACATCAACATCATGGCATCAACACACTGCACCTGTAGGATGTTGCTCTGCTTGGCGATAGTGATGTGCAAGCTGTCCAGCATCTCGTACACACAGTTGTAAAAGCAATACATTATACTAGAAACTAGCAACGCTTAAATAATTACATGTGCTATTGTCAAGAGCTGATTGTTTTCCTTTGATAAATTTCATAACTTAAGGGGAGACATGTGTTTTGCGAATCATCGTTACGTATTCACATATGGACACTACTGTGATTTATTTATACCTCGAAAACAATCGATCATTTAAGAATCGATGTGTTTGAGTATACGTTTGACCTTTTCGTAATATTTGTTGACGAAAAATGTGTCTCTAGTGAAATAGCTCTAATAGGTAGTGCAAATTAAGGTTCTAAAAGTATTTATTTTCAGACTAATGTTGTGCTACTCTAGAAGTCTTTGGAACTTAAATAGAGATGACAGAACCTGACATAATATTATTCATGGGAATTTGAAGTGACCCCAATTATGGTTGAAGGTAGTACTGTATACTTAGACGTAAAAATTCACTTTAATTGATAAACACACCATTCAAAACGTTCAGGTAGTCCACGAATCACCCCCCATCAATCATAGACCCCATCACCCCGAGAGGCGTACTAATTCTATCTAGTGTGTTACTCTTTTTAACACTTTACCCACCAACCTATAATAAGTACTGTGTTTAAAAACGACTGTACAATATCAACAATACTTAGGCCTACACCAGTCAAAACTTGTGTGTGCAAATAGTTGAAACACTACCGAGAACGTAGATGAAACTCAATCAGGCCAAGAGCTGTTGCTATCAGGTTTCTGTCCGTAAGACGCTAATCTTAATTAAAAAGTTGGACGCGGGAGGCTTCGGACCACTTTACCAAGTTGCGACCTCAATCAGTGGGACTTGAGCTCTTTCATTACCGAGCGAGAAACTTTGCCGTTTACAAAATCTCCTCTGCAATAATTACACCAGCTCCGACAAGTTGTTTCTAGAGTGTACGATTTTAATTTCGTTTCGAGTCTGAATTAATTTGAGAACGAGACTGAGCAAGTTTTCAGGATTCTGGGTTTCTAGATTGGTAATTTTGTAAAATAATTTCAGAGCAGGACTTGATCAAAGTTTAAATTAAAGAAAAGTAATTCTCAAAGTGGATAGTTTGACTTTTTTATCTTTCTCTCCAGTTGTGCTGTGTAGTTGTTTGATGGATTTATATATGGAACGTGTGAAAACGAATTTTGTGTTTCGAACCCCACCCAAGACTGCCAATTTATTTTTGACACATGTGCTGCTTGGTGAAAGAAAATTTACCTAACTGGTTTGCATTTTTTAATCCATAGTCTGTAGGCTTCTGGATATTTGTTGATTCTCCAAACAAACCTTTCACCTACAGGGCTAGGTTTAAGTTGTAATCAAACCAAATTGACAAATATGGTTTCAGGTACATCCCAACACTCTAGCAGTTTCCTAAGGTTTCACTCTGTTCCAGGTCTCCAGGCAGAGCTGTTCTACGTCAGGGACGGTGTTCTCAACGAGTACGCCCTCAACTTCGTGGTGCCGGTGCCAGCGCATCTTGGAGGACTGCACTTCACATGGCAAAGTCTTGCTGGACGACCGGTGAGTGACAAATTTGTTGTATATGATGTTTTAGCGAAAACTTGATTATTAATAGGGTTCGTAAATTATAAACCATGCTAAACGATTTTCACTGAACTAACAATCAAGCAAAACATAAGAATTTAAATAATAAATCCTGTGGTTTAAAATAGCTAACGCTTTCAAGTTACAGTTAGGTGTAAAACAAGGTAACCATCCAGTGCAACAGTAAGTGCAACATTGTGATTGTTGTTTACGACTTGTTGATTGTTGTTACACAATGACACGGTGGGGCTAATGTTACATTATTGTTAGGCCTCGCCTGGAATGCTAGTGCAATTTACAGCTGCAGAATGGATGATTTCGCAACAGTTTTGAAACTAGTCCTTAGAAAATATAGTTGGCGATATGGGTTACTATCTAAACGTTTATTTAATGTTTATTTATTTTCATTGGGATTATTTTTTAGTAATATACGGATATTTGCTGTTATATGCTGTATATGTGGATGCAACGTATTTTTTGTAAAGTAAACAAATTTTTCAGTCTCCCTTCCCTTAATTATGCTGTACAGAGAGATTCCAATGAGCACTTCTGTTTTTCCCATGTAAATATAAGTTCATCGATTTGCACTCTAAACAGCGAAAATCTTTGTTGACAATTTTCAAACTAAAAATTGTAGTTAGATTTGTTTAACTGGATATCAATTGATTTGTCAATAGTTGCTTTTGTAACCAAAGTACTAGTAGTAAAATAAATAAATTTATTGTATAATTTTCATTATAAACTGTTAATGAACGTTTTTAATACAAAAGTTAATAAAATAACAAGTAAAGTAATAATATAACAGTAGGCAGAAAAAGGAAGTGAAAGAAGTAGCTTGAAATTGGTGCCAGGCCGGGGAAACTGGCGCAAACTGGGGACAGTTTAGAGTTTTTGCCGTCAAAGCGGGATTGGGATTGGGTGAAAATTGCGTGTAATACTTGAGTCGCAGTTTCATCTCAACTCGACGCGGATCTGAACAGCTCTGATCTCGTGGAAAATACTGGATTGTACGTCTTTTGCATGCTGTAGCTTTAGTGATTATTAATGGAAAACTTTATTGGAAACGATCAAATGAATTGTAACACAATATAAATATACACTGAAGTATTATTGCACTTTAATGTTAACAGTTGCTGCCAGTTTTAGACGAACATTTTTTTCAGTTGAACCATAGAAAAAGTTGTGCTCTTGGAAAATCTTTTTATTCACAATTTTTTATCTTGTCCAATTAACAGGGGTGATATATCGTAAATAGCACCTATCCCTATCAACTTTATAAGTATGAAAAGCTAAGTATGATTTCAATAGTGTCATACTCTTTACGATGATCATTCCACTATTTTCGCTCAGGGGATGATTACATACGTAGTATCAAAAGTGGTTAATACGACAATGTTTTTTAATATCTGAGATTGAATATACGATACAATGTGCCTACACTATTCAATACAATTATGAAAGATGAAATTTGGTTTTAAAAATGCATGCCGAAGCAAAGAGAATGTGAAATGTGCCAAACGAGCTCCGACTGCCGTCTGTGACTTACAAGACAAATGTTCTGCTTGATTAATGTAACAGGCTTTCTCCAGGTTGTCTATCGATTACTTCGGGGTCTGATTAAATAGAACCTCGAGCTAATTTATCACTTTATTCACAAAATTCTCAGTATTTAATGTAGAATCGGATTTATGTTATGTTTTTTTCATACCAGTTTTTATATTATTCCGATTTAAATTAAGTTTTTTGGATTCGAACCGATAATAAAGGAAACTGATCTTAGTGAGTAAGCTACATTCATTTAGTATTACCTCCTTTATCACTCCATTATATTGGATTAAAAGACGTCATAATCTTGTAACAATTCTTTGCTTTAGTGATTAAGTGGTGTATTAAGCGAATTATGTAAAATATCATTGAGTTACAATCTGATCTAATAGACCGACGACTGGTGTAGTCGTAAAATGAACGATATTCTATGATGATCTAATTGAATAGCAGATATTAATAGGGAACAAAATTTAAACAGTAGGGAAGTTTATGTAAACAAAAGAATAGCTTTTCCAACAGGGAGAAGTTGCCGAAAAGGTTTTAGAAATGGTAAAAGCCAGTTGCGAAGTAACGTATTTGTGTTATTCCAATGAGAGCGAGAGAGAGAAATTCAGTTGGAATTGAACAAAATTGCTTCCGGGCGTGAGCTTTGGCTGTCGTGTGACTTATACCTTCGTCCCTGCTTTAACCAAAATAGAGAATTTTTATGTTTGGATCCAGTCTTTTGTTATAAAACATACACTTATTTTGAGTTAAACTTCAATTGAAGTTTGAGTTTAAAATGTAACAAAACTATTTACCCGTGGCTTTATTTCTGTGCGCATGAACTAGTGAAATACATTTATTACTGTTGCTGCAGTAGCAATACACCTAAGACTATCTAGTCAATGTCGCAACCAGTACAATAGTTATTGAAGAGATAGTCAACATTGGTATTATTTTGTAGCAGAAACATTGTTTAAAATAATTCAGTACATGTCAGAGAGTACGATGTTTTTTGACATAATACATCCTACTCTCTGACAATTATTGACATTAAGAATGCGTATCAGGAAGGTTGATTGAAAAAAAGCTAATCCAAAATGAAAACTACCAAAGTACGCTTATAAAGATTAATACATATTAGTGACAGGATGTAGCAATGCAACAACATTTGTAATCCAACCAAAGTACTAAGTTCAAGTTTTCAATAACAGTATTGACAAACTAAGATAATAATTTAGCTTTGCGAGAGACTCTCTATGCGAGGTGGGAGCAACCCAGTAGCACACGTTGTAGAGGCTCCACTTCCGTAAAGCTACTCGACAGCCTAAAATTGTTAAAATCCAACAATGTTTTTGAAAATCGTTCAAAGTTGTTAAACGGATAATTCTGTACAATATAAGTCCTTAAAGGTCAATGCATCAGAGATCAGAGAAATGATCGCCAATAAGGCAATTTTATTCATTTAATCACCTACAAACCCCGCAAGAACAAGTGACGAGACCCTTCGCTGAAGTAATTGCTCTGCTCAGATCCTTTGACAGTGACAATAATCCCGAGTGAGTCCATCACTCACTCCAGTCCGCTCCGGAGTGAGACATTAGCTCGGTTTTTGCCATCGACATTCCAGACACGCGCGGAATCCGGTCCGGTACGAAGAATTGCATTTCCCGTCCGGTCTGTCATTGTTTTATCCGGTTTGATGAGCCGATTGACATCGCTTGTCACGCAGAGAGCGCTGTACAGAGCCGGGCTACTGGGAAGTGCTGCTCTCTTTGGCCCGGAATGTCAATTAAATTACTTTAAGGGTCAGGTTTTATAATTGGAAACTTGCTAGACACATATGGGTAAACGGAAAAACTTGGTTAGGTTCGTAAAGTGGTAGAACTTGTATGTTTGCGAAAGTGTGAAATATAAGTTGTAGTATGAAATTGAGTAATCACTATCTTAATGAGATATAAGCCTATTGTTTCTCCGATTTGTAAGAGCGTTCAGTAAATGCAACGTATTATATTATAGTTCACCTGATTCACAGTTGTTTCAGTTATATTGATGGAGTTCAAAATGTATAATTTGAAATATTAGGAAGGGCTCCAAAGATTTACCTTGAGTTTTGGATTAAGCTCTTTTAAGCGAGATTATTTACTATTTACTTAAACCCTGACGTTATAAATTGAACACATTTGTTGTTTTCTTCAACAATGCTTGGCACTGGTACACCACACAAAGTATTTAGTTTTAAAATTGTAGCTGCGACAGCTACAGTATACAGTATTACAAAGGTATTACATTATAGTGTTCAAAACTTAGCACTACAAATCTGTTTACTCTATGACCCACACAATTTCCACAGCAGTACCACCATTACCGTACATTACACAGGTTATGTCCTACAACCTGTCACTAATGCTCAGTGTATAATGTAAAGTGCACAGTGTATAGTGTATAGTGTACCCAGTATCCACAGAGGTAGGTCGTGCGTTGTGTTGGTCGTAACATAAACTGCTGCAACGGCCGCAGTAAGTTCAACCCCAATACTTGGTCCTGATCCAAATCTGTACTCATGTACATCGGGTCTTCCTTTTTTATAAGCTCAAGTTTTATGCCCTGTGGTGTGTTTGGGAATAATAAAATGGTTTGAGATTTCGCTTGGATATCCATCAATAAAGAGGGTGTGGTGTTTTGAATAAAGTAAAGAAACAATTTGCACTATTTTTTCCTTATTTACCACTTGCTAATTGAGCTACTGTAACATGTAGAATTTAAGGCTATTATTTTTGACTCGAATACGACATTCTAATACATTGTGAAGATATGTAAACAATTATATACTTTTGAAACCCAGACTCTAATTTTTAGCATTTGTTGCTAAAAATGCGTTAAAGGTTGTAAATGTTACAGTAGTACACTGTTACATGTACAGTATGACTAATACAAAGCTAATACTTAAACACTCCGATAAAGGTGTTCGTGTTTTTTTTTTTATTAATTCCAAAATCAAATATAGCCTGTACATTTCCGTGTTCTCTCCTCTCTCTGTCAGATTTTTTTTATATACGCTAGTCAACCAACAGATAGGAATGTAATTTGCAAACCTTTTTACTAAACGCTGGAGTTAAATATGTTTTCTCTAAGAACTTAATTTCTAAACCCCTTAGATACCTCTGAACCGAGGTTAATCGTTTAGAAAAAGGTAAACGATTTTCCGCTGTAATACCTCCCACAGATGGTCCTATGAGCGTTGTGGAACTGAGCAAGATTAGCAAACAGAGCGGCGCGCGGTTAAAGGACTTCAAAGACAACACGTAACCGTTAAATTAAAAATTTGGTTCCCCCCCTCCCCCAACACCTTGCCCCCTCATGCTACCTCTGTTTTCATTAGTTCTTTATTTAGCGCTGTTTTGTTAAGCCCTCTTCCAAGCCCTTGTTTTCATTAATGTTTTGTTGGCTTGCAATTTCGCTAAATAGGAAACGCTAATTTGTACACCGGCTTGTTTGCTTATAAGCTTCTAAAGCAAAATCTGTTTTGACGTTTTTTAGGAGAATTAATTGATCGCTGTAGTTTTATGATTTTAAAATAATATTTTGTTTAAGGTCTTTCAAGTTTTATTGATTCTGCAAAGAATGTACTTATGATTAGCATTTCGTTGTTTAATATGAATAATAATGCACGTAATAACAATAAAGACGTGTTAGCTGAAACCCCTAGTTGTCCATTCCATGTCAGAATAATCTCTATTGATTGTACTGTAAGGATATAGTGTAAAATAGTAATTCACATTTTGTCTACACGCAATACTGTTGATAACGTTGTTTTACATAATACTGTTGTCTCACCTTTACATTAAAATGTTGTTTATTCCCCAATAAACTGAAAAAAGTAATATTTACAATATTATTTACATCGCAGGACGTAAGACAGCCTGGAACCGTTCAAAAATACCTCCAGGCTATACTTATCTGGTTGCGGAATTATAACCTAGCTCTACAACCATTGGTGGTTGGCTGTATTTGAACCCGGTAACCTCAGGGACTGAAGCCTTGCGCTCGACCTCTAGACCAACTCGTTTACACTGTGATACGCATATCAATAGGAATTCAGCTACAGAATCATTCAATAGAAAAACACCACCTCAAGAACCAGTACTTAAACATTGTAATATTCCCTGATTTAAATACCTACCATTTGCAATTTGTCGGACCAATTTAAGCAGACATTCTCTTATTAGCCAGCCAGTTAATGGTGGTAGCACACCGATTAACCATTAAACACAGAACCTGTCAACAAGCCGGGCGTAATTTCGGCTCGGTCTCTTTTGGCGGCTTCGATGGAACCAACACTCTCCGTTTCATCTCGTCGCAACATACGCGTTTACATATAAATTGGATCTTCAGACAGATAATCAGCTGCTCCGGGCTATCTTGCATGTGTGTGTGCGTGTTTGTGTGTGTGCAGTCTTGATATTGTGGATCTTGGAGAGGACTTTGTGAAATAAATAAATGTAACCTTAAATTGATGGGGAAATAGGGGAATTAGGATTTCTTAAATGGACCTGCTTGTAGCGAATTTCCTATATAGGGAATAAGCTGTTTTTAATTTAGGTTTATCGTACAATCAGCAGATACAAAGATTTACAAACTAATATATAAACATAAATCTTCTTTCCACTAAAAGACTTAAGTTTTCGATCGTAAATTTCAAACCTAAAAGTAATAAATTTTTTCCACATTTGATCTACAAGTTGTACAAAGTATGCAACTGTACGTTCTTTACCAGTACAGTACTAATTATTTTAGTCTCAATTTAACGTTACCAAACCGTTATTGCTATTGCTTTGGGAGTCACCTCTCTGATTTCCATTTTTGAACATTGAGGAGCAAGAAACCGAGACCTCACGTCCATGTGAGTATTCTAACAAAATCAATTGTAATTAATTCAAATTCTATGCAGCATTTGAAAGCACCCCTCTGTGCACTAATTGACTGAATTAATGTTATAGACTAAAACCACGAATGGACTAAACCAATCAGATGAAGAACTGTCAAAATTAGAATTGGGTGTTGACAACGTTTGAATTATTTTAACTTGTTATCTTGCTCGCACACACTAGCAAAGAAATCAAAACATACTTTGTAAAATTAATAACAATAAATTTAAACTACTGATCAATTGATTTTGTAATACAGAATTGTTACGAATGTCTAACAAATTAACTCTTTAAGCATGCATGCTACAAGGTGAAAATTTTTTAGAATAAATCAGTTTAGTTACAGATTTAACAATGTCGAGTTAAGCCTATCAACAATACCTTTATTCAGATTTTATCTTTGAACAAAGCAATATTTTATAAAAGATGCTCATCAGCCTAAAGATTATTGTATTGACGAAAACGTGGAAGTTTATAATTAAATTCCACCCATCGGAAATTATAAGAATTGATTGAAATCGGGTGACGCTATTCAAAACTCTCTTGTTTTTAGTTGAAAGGAAGCATTCCAGGTGAACACCTCGATGGCTAAATATAAGATGTGTAATTAATATTGGGGTTCGTCAAACCTTCGCATCTGCTTCTTAGCATCTGGGGTGGAAAATGAGATTATATACTGAGATCATATACCCTGGCAGTTCCCCTAATGTCTATAAAGCGTCTCAGGAGCACGGGGGAAATTAGTTTTGATTTTGATAAAGTGAATTACGGTACCGGTAGTCTTCATTTCAAAATATCTCCACCTTATGGGTCTGTGTTTATATTAAAAATGTTCTTGTGGTAAATCTGCATTCTGCTTTGCTATTATAAAATATCTTATTTTTTCAAATACATAAAACAAAGAGAACCAACATTTTAAATGTTAGTTTATGTAATCATGCATTTACTATAACCATCCACATAGCACACCTTTGGTTCTAACCTGAAAATTAGTTTTTTTAGTTATTCGAAACGTGAACGTTTTTCCAGATCCTTGGCTCATCTACGGTTAATGGCAAAATAAAAAGCCAGTGTTACAGTTACAAGGGACACAGCTAGTTCTACGCATAGTATGTCCAGCTTAAAATACTCAACTTAGATCTGTATCACTGTTTTAAAGTAAAGATAAACTATCGATTTCCTAGTCTGTTTACAATAAACACCACTTTTAAAACGGGGCGAGAGTGTTAATTCCACTGAGTTTTCTTTTCCACTATCAGCCTATCAGTGAGATTTCAAATTTTTCAGGAATGTATAAACGTTTGTTAACGACTTAAAATTGTCTAATTTGGAATAACAACTAGAGAAACCAGGAGCCTTCCTTGTTGACTAGATTATCCTTGACATTGAGCGTGTAATCGGCAAACAGAAGCGGCACGACTCAATCATCTCGCCCACGTCATACCACAAACAGCTGATTTAGTGGACCAGCTGTAGCACGGCGCATGCGTAGTGTACTGCGACTGCTCCTTCCCTCCTTGGCGGGAACGTCATCGCATTTAATTGGTGGTGGGAGGATGCGTTGAGCGCCGACAACATTGTTGACTTGACAGCCGGGTTTGTCGGTGACAGGGGGGTGAGCAGGCTTTTATGATGAAGATTGGAGTGGGCGTGGAAATGGATTTTACCGCTTTACTTTCACATTATAATTCAATCAGTTTAAGGTTTGAAAATTTAAGTATTTTATCGTTTGTATTGGAACATGTATGTTAATATTGTGTGCATCAAGGAATATTTTGGTTACAATTTAGGCTTGTTGACGAACTATAGCTCAATGTCCTGTAAAACTCAAGTGAATTATTAAATAAGCTTTATACATCCCTGATCACTGATTGCGATTACAAACTATTGGATTCATAGATAAGGTTGTATCACCTTAGTTAAATGGTAATATATACCTATACAATACTTATTATGGTGAGCAATACATAGCCAGATTATTTAGTTAACTTTTAGAAAATTACATTATTAAAATGTTTAAATTACACATGGTAAAAAATCTAATTATTGCACAGTACACAGTAATTTGCCCAGTATATGTAATACCTTTAAGAATATTTAACATGTAAAAACCATTTGAATATCTACTTGATTGCAAATGAAATATTTTTTGCCTGAGTTTTTTATGCCCCTTGCCAGACATGTAATTTATTAACTTATTTGCTCAGCTTTGATTCCCCCCACGAATGTGTAGGAGAAAACTGATGTTGGCAGAAAAGTCAAGGATTTTCCCTTTGATGAAAGAAGCCGAGGGAATACATTTACTCGTCCCTTCAACCCCAGAGATAATTTTGTGTGCCAAGTTTTAGCACCCTGGATAAATCATCACACTCGAGACAAACTTTTCCCGGCTTTCGCACCCCATCTGCCAACTGGGCTGGCGACGCAAATAATTTAATACCGGTGCTTTGCCAAAGTGCTTTTAACTAATAGATTTATCATTTATCCTTTAATGGTAGTGCAAAAATATTTAAAATTGTTGTGTTTGACAGTGTTGTGAGATACAAATTCGTTTAACCATATTTTTGTTATATATTAGAATTACAATTTTTTTGCATGTGAATATTCATGAAATGGAATTTTAATTTGCACTTAAAATATTTGCTGGTATTAGACGTTAGAAGAAAAATTCATAATATTAATTTGCACACATATTCTCTGTTATTTAACAGCTCACATATTATAACATTGTTATGTAAAATACAGACGCCAATAAAAATAAATGTACATTAATTCAAGTTATCATACATACATATATAAATTGTATGAAAGAAACTGTACTTGTATTTGAAATATAATTGTTATACATTGTCCTTTGTCCAATTCAAGTTACAACAAGAAGTAAATTTCAAACCAAAGTTTACTGTACCCTATCTAAAATTACTTCAAGTGTACGTACATGTTGCTCGAATTCGAGCAATTGCAAAGTATTACAGGATTTGCAAACCGATAACAGTCATAATTTTCGATGAGTTTAAAAGGGTCAATTCAGAGATTATGTAACTAATGGAAATATTTACGTTGTCCATACCGGTTTGATTTAATCAATACTTCTTGTAAATATTTTATCATTTTTCGAAAGATCATGTGGTATTTCATATGTTATAGTGTGTTCTACAAATGTTTCCCTACTTACTCATAACCGCAATGTGTATCTCCGTCATTGATAGCCTCCTGCATGGTACCACAAGTGTCGCCAGTATGTTACAAAAGCTTTGGTCTTCAAACCATCCCATTTAAAAATCTAGTTCCACAGCAAAATGTCTACATCACATTTCTTCCTGTTTCAGTTGCCATACTCTATCGCGGTGACAGTCTCCAACCCAGAGGCACTAGCAGCTCCCATCCTGAACATCTCGGACCACGGGTCAGTGCCGACGGTGGTACAGACGTTCGCTGTGGAGTTGCCTTGTACAGGAGTGGTCGCTGCGGAGGTGGATGTCGTCATCTCCATCAATGTCACCCTCAACAGAGCCAACAACAATGTCACCAGACTCAACTTCAAGAGAGTCAAGATCTGCTTGAGAGGTCCTCCAACACGTGAGTTATCATTAGTTGTGTGTTCCACTTAGTACTGAATGTGAAGAGAGATGTACCAATAACGTAGCTAGATTTTAATACACTGCCAAAAATAAATTGTCGTAACATAATTGGTGTTGCTGATGACAGTTATTATGTATATGTATACAAATATGTGTAGTTGAGTGATGCTTGGTAATCGCTTGCTAATCACGAGTCCCAAATTCTGAGAAAAAGAGGCTTATTGATATTGTGAAACTAAACTCAGCTGTCCTTAATCATAATTAATCCTGCCTGAAGAAACAGCTGATCTTGGTGACAAAGCTTAAATAGTCTGCTTAATTTAATCCATTTTGCAAAGATGTCATCTTATTCATTAACTCAATAAGCCACATTTCCACGAGGCCAGTAGAACAGGCAGGTTAACTGTCTCTGGTATATTTCAAGTTAAACTTGAGGCTGGTACCCTGCTCGCCAACTGGCTTTGAGTAAACACAGCTTTATAGGTACTTCATTCATCTTCTACTATAGAGGTTAGTCCATCTTAATGGAATCGTCAAGAAGGATTGATGGAATCAGATATCCACCCTATTTGCCATACTTTTACTGAATCTCCCGATTTCTCTAAATATATGATATTTTTCCCATTACTAATTATTCTCTGTATCTGCACAGATGTGTCATCGCAGAGCGAGAGCGAGGTGGTGGTTGGCAGGACAGAGACAGAAGCGTCGTCTGCTCTGTATGTCGCAGTCAGCTGTGCTTGTGCCTTGGTCACTGTGTTCGCCATCGCACTGCTAGCCTGCTACCTGCGCAACAACAAGAGCAGACGACACGGCGACATGCTGCAGTAAGTTGATAAATCTATCCAGAGAAGAAGTATTTTAGAAGGGACTGAAGCTGGCGTTAACTTTGCAGTAGAAGAGATGATATTTGATTAGAAACAAAAAAGAAAAACCATTCTGCTACAACCTATAAGACGTGAAATTTCTTTTTATGGGTTTTATGGGTAGATATGCCAAATTATAGAGAAAATTCAATAGCTTTTTGATGACTCCTTACTGGGTCCAGCTGACTTTTCTCATTGGACTGTTAATAAATTGGCTCGGCAAGAGAGGTAGCTAGTTTTAGTCAGAAACAAAGCTGCACAAGGAATCTCTCTTGATTCTATTCTCATATTTGGGTAAAATATACCCAGCCATAGCTCTCTTTAATGAAACAATTTTTTTGAAATTTTAACTTAATATCTGCATATTTTGTAAGCAGCCTTGATGTTTTACAACCTGACAAACTTGGGAACTTGTTAAGTTTACAGCTAATGTGTCATATACTTCCATCCCAACAGCCACAGTTAATTTCATTGTTGTGATAGATCCATGTAAAGGGGATGGTTCAACTCACGTATGGTTTGGGTTTTTACCATGATCAATTGACAGTGAGCGAGCTGGTCTAGTGCTAGAGCATGGACGTTTTAGCCCGAGGTCCCGGATTCAAGTCCTACCAATGGAATTTATCCGTATGGTAATGCCGCGAGTATCCTGAAGTTTTGTACCTCTAGTCGATCATACTTGCAACACTTTCCCTTACATACATTCTAGTGTTATATCCCTCCCTCACCATCGTGTGTTGTGTCCAGGGAGTCCCGGGGAGGCTCCAACTGCAGTGCGCAGGGCCTGGCGCCTGCTCCCGTGTTGTCCGGGACTCTCAGCTCCAGAAGACCCAGCTACACAAAGCTGGATCAGCACTGCGACCGCTCTAACGACCTTCAGCACAGGATAGCTCAGCTCACTATACAGAGGTAAGTAAAGTCTGTTAATCTTAGTAACCTGAAAATGTTTGTGCAGAAGCTGAACAATATGCATAGTGGTTGTAGTGTTGTTCGCTTACCGATCAGTAGATCCCTAGTTTCATTATGCCAAGCATTCGTAGCCTTTTGGTGGCTCATGTAAGGACCCAGCTGTCCTTAATTTTGGTGCTTTTTAATAAATGATCATGGTTAAATAGGCAGCTACTCTAAGTCAAACAAGCTAAAGAGAAAATCTCACACTGTTCTACACTCACCCTGCTTTCATATTACACTTTAAATTAAATATCTTAAATAAAATGATCTTTTTGTGTGTTTGTAAGGTCAATTAATACAAGTTACCATTGTAAAAACTATGAGACATATGCTCCATCATAATTTGTATGTACAGTTACTAATATTTTAGTACACTAATATTTAAGATGATCAGACTATACAGAATCATCCAAATAACAATTAAAGGAAGAAAAATCAAGAATGCCAATGCCCTTTGAGGGAACCTTGTTACCTCCATACCACCACATTTTTAGGTGTTCTGTTATTGCTGTAGAGATGGTTGTTTGTAATGAAGCCAAAATATTAGAACACCATGTTAGTGTGACACGTTTCCACTCTAATGGAGTGTTATTAATTATAGTACATATATTTTCTTTACGTATTGCATCTTTTGTTTCCTCATTTACTTTTTCTTTATTGCTGTAACTCATGCTCTTTGGGTACTGATGTGTATTTGTTTGACCAGTCTGCTTTTACCCAGGTGTAGATGTCGACTCAAGAGCGTTCTGCTGGAAGGCACGTTCGGACGCGTCTACCGAGGCTCTTACACGGACGAGGATGGGGGAGAAGAAGAAGTCATGGTTAAAACTGTTACCGGTATGTTACAAATAAATTTGTAGAAGATTAATGCACTTTTGCTTTTCAAGTGAACACTTCTAAATGTTCTCAAAATGTTTTACGTTTTATTTAAATGCTTAATATTACTTTTGGGAGAACATAGTGAACTATCTAAACTCCTGTACTTTTACTAAACTCCCTTTGTACTTTTTAAAAGTCCCTAATTCAATGTAATCTAGGACACTCTAGGATAAGAGTCCCTACTCTCAGTTAAAATCATTCTTTAACAATTTTGTATCCGATTTAGAAAGCTAGTTTAACAATTACTTGCCATATAAAATAATATTAGACCAACATGTAGTTTCATGTAGTATTCTGTTTCACAAGTTTGTCCAAACAAAGATTACCTCAAACTTGAAAGTAGCCCTCTTCAATGTAAGACAAGAAAAGCTCAACTTGTTTTCCTCTCTTTGCTTTCTCTTACATCAAATATTCAAACTCACTTTGAAATTTTTAGTCTGTGGTTCTTTAGCACTTTAGCCACTGTTCTGTCTTGTTTGAAAAATGTTTTCTGAATATTATTGGCAGCAGTTTTTTAAAGGGAATAAAACTTATGCCTGTAATAAAACTGTATTTATTTTCCAACCCTATTAGTGTGTAAATTAGTCTTTGGAAAGAGTGTTAAAAATATTTTGTCCAAAAATTATCAGCTACAGTTTTATTCCAACAGAGTATAATACTGTTATTTGTAAACCCCATAAAATGGTTTAATCTTTAATTCGTGGTTGTTGAGTTATGGGTCAAGATGCAATATAGGCCCCATGCATATGATTGTTGTATTTTTTTATTTGAGAAATCTTTTTGGTTATATTCTAGATTAGAACTTAAATGTTCACAACGTTTTGTGAACTGGAATATCATCCCTTTCTTTGATTCCATAATTTTTACTAATCGTTAAATAATAAATATCCACACTTACAATCATAAAATATAATTGAGTCTGTTATCTTTTTATGTACTAAATTTACCAGAGCATATTTTAAGGAATTTTCACTGGGCGACAGTGGAGCCGGGGGTTACTGTGGGGCCCCATCCAGAAAAATTTTGCTTGGATTCAAGTGAAAATCAAACATTTCTACGTATCTTGTAATGCATTTTTTGATTATATTTGCTTGTAAATTGTCCAACAAATTCTAGAAATATGTACACAATGTTATTTTTTTAATACTTTTAAAATCCTAATACATTTAAAATTTGAATCATTAAACAAAATATGACGGCACCATCCATAGCCACTGGGCGACAAAATCTCAGCACTGGGCTACACTTGTGTCTCCCAGTTAACATGTTATTTTATGCTCTGAAATTTACATCATAAAATTATGTATGTTATGCATATGTTGTTAGTGTTATCTAAACTGTCATGTTGTATGTTATAGACCACGCGTCCAGCATGCAAGTTTCTCTGCTACTACAGGAAGGCATGACCATGTACGGACTCAGTCACAAGAATATCCTGTCTATCCTAGGAGTCTCCATAGAGGACCACACGGCTCCATTCCTCATATACCCCCACCAGGGGTACACCAACCTTAAAAGGTACAGAGAGACAACATTTTGCTTTAAATTGCACACACACTGCTAGCTTAACATTATTTTCTGATCATTTTAGTCGTTTCACTGAGTAAACACCATTATATATAGGCTACATGTACGAAAGTGAATATTTTTCAAGGATAAAAGTCCATTCTGGTAAGTCACCATGTTATAAGGTAAAAAACCCCTAGCGAGAGTTCAAAGCAGGAAAAAAGTCACCAATAATCAGCAACTATCCAACACAGAAAAACTTTGCTTATTTGGGACCTACATACTGCTTTTTCGTGTGAATTACCATACCTGTTTTTACCCTTCTTGTAGTCATAATAATTATCATCGTCTAGATTCAACATCACGTTTTCTGTATTTATAAGTTCTATTCTTTGCGGGTGTTTCATAATGTATCAAACACCAGCGTCTCCCATCATAGAGTAAGACTATCAGTGTCATTGTCCATATTTGTTCCATTTTAAAATCTACAATCCTACACGATAAGTTAGTAATGTGCACTTGCCATTATAACTAGACAAAGTCCCAGTATCGTTCACTCTTGGACCAAATCAATTCAACTCTCTACGTAAATTATCCCGTGATTTAAAACTCATGTATATTCCTTAACTTTCTGAACGCTGGCAAAGAATAAGTAACCTTGAAGGTTTAAGTATTAAAATACAGTGTCAGTTATTATCACAGCCAATAACAAATACAGTGGTTGGTTACAGTGGTATGTTACAGTGGTTTAATGATAACAACTAAACCAACATTGTGCTCGTAGGTTCCTACAGAAGTGCAAGCTGTGCCCGGAAGGTGTAGCACACACTCTGACCACCCAGGAAGTGGTAGACATGGCTCTGCAGGTCATCACAGGGATGCAGTATCTGCACAAGAAGCGGCTCTTGCACAAAGACTTGGCCACAAGAAACTGTGTGTAAGTTATCTAATTTGTTAGATGAACCGTTCTAATGCCTGCATATGTGTTTGTAAAATTAAAAAAAATAACTTTAGATAGCTATCCATTGATTGTATGCCTAACACTTTACAAGGAAATACTAATACGTTTATTAACTGATCAAGATACACTATTCACACTTCATACTTGGCGTGAGCGTAGATTTCTCTGCCATACTGAGTGTTGGGGTGGAGAGTTGCAAAAATCGTAATGGGGAAAATGAATGACATGACAAAACACTAACATGACAGAACGCTACTTGATCGTGATAAGAGCACATTGTAAACCCTAAGTCACGGAGTCGGACGACCTTTACATCCTCTCAAAAAATATTTCCTAAAGCATCAACGACCAGCAATCAAATTTTATACACAATATAAAACCAGAGATTTTCCAGCAATAAATCATAAATTTGCAGATTTTTTATATTTATTTACTATACATTCTATTTCCATGATAAAGTTTTAGTCGGATATTGATTCTTAGACTGTAGCCCTGTCTGCGAGTGGCTCATTAAATTTTTTTTAACTTTGAATAAAAAAATGTGTTGCATTTCCGTTTACATTAGTATTCAATAGTCAATTTATGAAGCCGCTTATTTATAGCCAAATTGATTTATTCTGTTCCTTGTGTTTGCAGTGTGGATGACAAGTTGAGGGTCCAGATCACAGACAACGCCCTGTCTAGAGACTTGTTCCACATGTTCATGTTTGTGTTGTGTTTGCAGGGTGGATGACAAGTTGAGGGTCCAGATCACAGACAACGCCCTGTCTAGAGACTTGTTCCACATGTTCATGTTTGTGTTGTGTTTGCAGGGTGGATGACAAGTTGAGGGTCCAGATCACAGACAACGCCCTGTCTAGAGACTTGTTCCACATGTTCATGTTTGTGTTGTGTTTGCAGGGTGGATGACAAGTTGAGGGTCCAGATCACAGACAACGCCCTATCTAGAGACTTGTTCCACATGTTCATGTTTGTGTTGTGTTTGCAGTGTGGATGACAAGTTGAGGGTCCAGATCACAGACAACGCTCTGTCTAGAGACTTGTTCCACATGTTCATGTTTGCAGGGTGGATGACAAGTTGAGGGTCCAGATCACAGACAACGCCCTATCTAGAGACTTGTTCCACATGTTCATGTTTGTGTTGTGTTTGCAGGGTGGATGACAAGTTGAGGGTCCAGATCACAGACAACGCCCTATCTAGAGACTTGTTCCACATGTTCATGTTTGTGTTGTGTTTGCAGGGTGGATGACAAGTTGAGGGTCCAGATCACAGACAACGCCCTATCTAGAGACTTGTTCCACATGTTCATGTTTGTGTTGTGTTTGCAGGGTGGATGACAAGTTGAGGGTCCAGATCACAGACAACGCCCTATCTAGAGACTTGTTCCACATGTTCATGTTTGTGTTGTGTTTGCAGGGTGGATGACAAGTTGAGGGTAAAGATCACAGACAACGCCCTGTCTAGAGACTTGTTCCACTTGATCATGTTTGTGTTGTGTTTGCAGGGTGGATGACAAGTTGAGGGTCCAGATCACAGACAACGCTCTGTCTAGAGACTTGTTCCACATGTTCATGTTTGTGTTGTGTTTGCAGGGTGGATGACAAGTTGAGGGTCCAGATCACAGACAACGCCCTATCTAGAGACTTGTTCCCCGCAGACTACCACTGTCTGGGAGACAATGAGAACAGACCTGTCAAGTGGCTGTCCATAGAAAGTCTCTCACACAAAACCTTCTCCACTGCCTCAGATGTGGTAAGAAACATGTATTTCCTGTTAGTTTGATTACAAAAAAGGAAAGTGAACATATCCGTTAAAACGTCCATTACACCTAAGTTTGATCAGAGAATTGGAAGTTGTTTAGGATTACAGCCTAAGTGGATTGAATATGAGATATCTCTTTTTGCTCTTAACCCCAAAATTACTGAATGATGTGAGAATGTTGTATCGATATGTCCAGTCAATTAGTATGTGTAAAAGTAACATCAGAATCACAAAAAATATTTTTCTAAACTACTTATTGTATTGCAGTTTAATCAATTATCCTCTAGGTACCTCCTCAAATATCTAATCTACCAGTATATCAAGTACTTAGGTTATAAATGAAAATGGACTTGTTTCTTTAGATTTGCGGCCACTTTTACAGTCTAATGTATTTAACCCATTGAAATGTTTGTATGTTACAGTGGGCATTCGGCGTGTTGCTATGGGAACTAACAACATTAGCCCAACAACCTTATGTTGAGATTGATCCGTTTGAGATTGCTGCCTACCTCAGAGACGGCTACAGACTCGCTCAGCCTGTCAACTGTCCTGATGAGCTGTGAGTCATGTTGTTCAGTTGCCATTACTGTAGTATATCACTCATCAATTACATAGACTTTCTCAAACCATAAGGAGGATTTCACAACTATTTTTTTTTTAATTTGATTCTACATTTTTTTAAAGCTGTCACAATCTTATTTATTTTAAAACAATGTGTTTAAATTAATTTCTATTTGGTTATCAATCTGAGTTTTGGGTGATTTCATTTGAAATTTGAATATTTTTTACGTGGTGGATTATAATTTTTCCAATTTTCTATATATTCATTTTAAATTTTACATTTGGGAATACAAATAAACTTTATAAATATATATGCTTCTTACAGCCTTCGCAGTCCTTAAGTCATAACACTACGGCCGTTTCAGATATCACTCCATCTTTAGGTGTGTAGTCGTAGTACACAAAACTAAATCAATATGTCAATATTTAAATTTTTTACGGCATTTCTTCGTTTTTATCGCGGCATGTTTAATGAATAGTACATAAAGAGTAAACTTTGACACAATGAAAATGAAGAAATGCCGTAAAAATGTAAATATAGAAATAGTGATTTGGCTTTGTGTACTACAAACACACCTGACGATGGAGTGATCTCCTTTACGACCGTAGTGCTATGCTATAACTTAAGGATTGCCAAGACTGTAAGTAGCCTATATATTTATAAATATCCACACGCAATCTGCCACACTGAAAAATCACAAATAAACTGATTCATGACATTTATTGTGTATCTCTATGTTTTGTATTGCAATCTGAATCTCATTATGTTCCCGTCTGTTGTAGGTTCGCTGTGATGGCGTATTGCTGGGCGATGAACGCAGATGATCGGCCGACCTTCTCACAACTTCTCGTCTGTTTACAAGAGTTCTACGCTCAACTAACTCGTTACGTTTAAACTTTAGACCAACTTTTAATATTACCAATGATAAATCCTCCAAATCCTTCGATATCTGTTCTGTTGCCTCTACTTTTGTACAATTTATCCTCATATACCTTCAGTGCTAGCTAATTCTATTGGTAATTCAAGATAAGATTTCTGAAAGTAGTACAATAATATACGTATTAGGAGGCCTTTAAATTATATGTCGGAATATCTTACAATTTGCACAAATTTCAAATCTAAATAACCTATGTGGTTCACTGCCAGATTCAAGAAAATGTAAACAGATTTGTTTCAAAGCATCCTGAACTTTGTGATATTAATTTGTAGTTGTAAGTACAATGTACAGAAGTCCCGTGATTGGGTGTATTTAGACTAGTATTAGTACGTATTTTTAGAGGCAGACATTTCATGTAACTTTTTCCAGTTGACGAAAGAAATATTAAAGTTTTCTAAAATATTTACATATAATGAGGTTTTGTGATATATCGTTTTTACTTTTAATTATTTATCAACAGAAAATTTTCTAAACAGTTTTTAAAATTTGATTGGTAAAATTGTATACAGTAATATAATGGTGCTTTGGTACTAATACAAATATAATTATATCCTCAATATAGACTGATAGTTGAGATGGTGTGTAGATATGTTTAATATGTATGTATTATGAGCTTGCGTTAGACAGCTTATGTCCCCTGGAATGCTTTAATTAATTTGCAGGCATAACTTGTGGTGAACAACAGTTGTCTGAATCAGAATGTGTAGATTAAATGTTGACTTTGATACGTAAATCAATACTCTTTATTTATGCGATTCACAATATTTTATGTAATAATATTTTAAACTGAATTATATAGCTTAGGAATTTATTTTTTACTTAATCGCTTAAATGGTTCAAAATTGTTTTTTGATATAAAATTCATTGGAAATTAAATTTGTTTGTAAACTGAGCTAGAGGTGTATTTTAAATTTACCAAAAAATGTTTACTACGCTATTCTTGTAACATATGTAGATAATGAAAAGTTTATGGACTGTACAGTTACATAGCTTTATTTGTACATAATTTATGTATTTTTCTTTTGTGACGAAGATCTCATAGTTTAGTTTAAATACCAAGCTTCGCGCTGGTCAGACGTTTAACCCCGGTGAAATTGTACATAATACTTAAATAGGATAACTGTAGAATATTTAAATGTACAGAATTGTTAGTGATAATAGAACCTTGTGTAGTGTAAGATACGGTTTTGTAATTTTTATACAGTTTTACTATATTTTGTATCTAGTTTGGTTTTTAACTGTGTTTATAGAACTTTTATAAGAATGACCAAAAATGTGTCTATATATTTCATTATTGTATACAAATATAAATAATACTGTTAATAAAATGGATATTTTATATTTCTGTGAATTATTTTTGCCTTTATAACATTTTACATCTGCAAGATAAGAATTTTCTGACCTTGAGAAAACTTCTTAAGTTGTTAGAAGTAAAATGATTGATAATGATAACTCTTTAATTGAGTTAGAATTTAAGGGGACCTAATCAATGACAGCACAGAAATCTCTGTAGTCGGGGTAATACAGTGTTTAGAAGAGTTCTTGTTTATTTAGATTAAGTTTTGAAAATCCTGACAAAAGTCTCAAGGAATGTGAAATAACTTTTTGACGGATAAATGAAATCTACTTTGGAGAAACTGTCTTGCAAAGTATTTCGTCCCTCTTTGTACTTTCTAAAACAAACTGACTTCAAATGTCTTAGCAGCACTCGGATTCAAAATGCAAAATCCTGCTGAACCTGAACACTCTATGTTTCTTGGGCTTAGTAACCATGTCATGAGGATATGCAGTGTTGTGATACAAAAGTACTCATGGACTGAACAAATGAGTTGCTCAGAAGTCAGACACTTCAGACTTGTATGAGGTTTTTCCCTGATAGTTGTTGCATGTTCAGTGGCAGTGCCCAAGTAGCACAAATATGTATATAATACGTATAATTTACCTACCGGCATGGTATAGCTTTTGTATACAATCTGTATAGAAATGTATACAATACAGATTGTATCTGTAAATATGTCCCACCTAAATATGTATTATTTGCATATTGTATAAGGATCCAACTACAGATATGATACATATTATACATCTGTATATAATCTGTAAATTTTGATAGAAATTGATGCTTACCTTAACTGTATAAAATACATATTTTATACATAGATGATACATATTTGATGCCATATTAATAAAAAGTGGCTCAAAATACAATTGTCATAAAAATCAATATATAAAATTATATACATTGATTTTTACTAACAGTTTTCTTTGAAGGCATTTGTTATGGGAGGTGAACTATGTGTCATGAGGGTTGGTGTGTTGTATGATGGTAAAACAATATTTTAAGTCTTCATTAGAAATATGTGTTTTGTGATTTGTCAGGTAAATACCTAATTGATCTAGTTTAGGGACAACCTACTGCTGTTCAGTAGTTTCATCTGAAGCAGGCCCGTAGGACCTCGGGGTACGGATCACATCCGAAGCTCCTAAGGTGAACCAGAGGGGCCCTAGTGAAAGTCTAGAAGGGGAAAGAGCCCCTATTACAGTTACTACATCATTACAATACAGTATGCAAAATGTAATGTTATATTGTTGGTGTAGGCTAGCTATCAGCATTTATTTTCATATCATAATCAAACCAAAGAATGAGAGAATTATGCAATTTTTGTAGACTTCCTTAAAAATGGTAGCAGCCACAAAAAAACAAATGATTTTACCTTTAAAGAATATGTGTTTTAATGAAGTAGGGAAGATAAAGAATATGGCAACTACCTTAACAAATATTAGACCAAGACAGCTTTAAATTTTTTTAATTATCGTACATTGAAGATTATTTGAGAAAAACTTATTAAATTACCTTGTTGAGAATAGGTACCACTTAACAAGCATTTTGGATAGTGCATTTATTTGCATAAAAAGTAAATAATAATATGTTAATTATTATATTAGTGTTTATATTACCAAGCATTATTCAGCTGATAATAATTAATAGTAATAACTAGCTTGAATGTTAAAAAGATTAAGTTGAAATAGTTTAGAAAAATAACCTATTATTAATAATAATACAGTATGATTATAACAACTGAAAGTGTAAAAAAAAAATACTAACTCACTTCTCACAACTGATGAATAATTTCTAGTTTTTTTAACTGAATCTTATTCTTACATGAAAATGTTGTTTTTTTAGTTTTCCATTTTCCCTATTGTTTATTTAATGTGAGAAAACAAGAAGGCTAGGCTCAACAAATAATAATAGATTTTGTAGTAACTTTTAAGACCTATTCTAAATTGTGCACAAAAAATACTTGCACAGTAAAAAAACAAAAAATAAATGCACAAAAATACAAAAAATGAGTAAAAATATTTGTTCAGATGTAATCACAAGTACCCTAATACATTCAAGTATAAAAGTTGTTTTTATAAAATTGTTTCTGTTGTTTATTAACACACTTTTTAAAGGAACATATAAATGAAACAATGAAGAAATGTCAAGAAAAAACTATTTAATTGATCATCTGCGGTAAACCTAAATTTTTATTTTTGACATAAATCCTTGTTCCTGCTTGGCGTAACCATTCGCTGGTTTTTTTCTCAAACGTTGTGAGATCGAATGAGGACGGGTGTTGTTGACGAACTACACCTGAAACAAAATTCACACTTGTGTCAATGTCTGTATTCCTGTGTATAAGGTAATATTAGGGTACGCACAAGATTCACGCTTAGAGCAACATATCTTTTGGTAATCAATCCTTTGTTTTCTTGATGGCAAAACTTAGATTAATTCATTTTTAACGTTTTAATTTTTAACATTTTTTTAACACGTTTAGTGCTGACTACATCAATTGATGTAGTCGCGACACGAGCGGCCTACATCAATTGATGTAGTTGCGTAACCCCCACTACATTAGTTCAGTATGCGCTCAGCCATTGCCGGGGAACGTTAAAATCGTTGCTAGCCCGTAGCTTAGAATGTAAGCTTTATTTTGGTGTAGGTTGGTACTAAAATTTCCCGTAAAATCCCGTCTGACAATGCTTTTGTACCAGTTTTGGGGATTTTCTCTCTTCAAGCCATATTACAAAGCCACTGACTACTGATCCAGGCAGTGCTGCTACCTTTGGGTGTTTTAGGGAACTATGTTCAATCTCGGGGTAACGTAGTACAATCGCCGCTGCTCTTTTGTTTTTCGTCAGATTGAAATATTTGAATGCCAATTGCGTTTGCTGTTGGTACGGCACCGCGCCGGGGCTTCGCCGCCATTGGCGAGCGCCTGTTGGAATGCCTGCCGTACTGAACGTGTGAAGCAAAATCGTTTCTTTTTGAGCTAAACTAACAAGTTGCAATCAAGAAATCAAAGTATTGAAGAGGTTTAAAGAGTACAGTGCAGAAAAAAAAGGATAGGTACGGTACATTCTACAGACAAAAAATGTGTGTAACATCATAAATTAATATCATATAGCCTATGATAATTAATTATAAGATGATAAATTAATATAATTAAAATCCATTGATCTAGCCCCTGAACCTTTTTATTGACTAATAATTGTTACGTAACTTTACGCCATACTGCTAAAAATGTATGTAAAGAATAACAAGATGTTTCGCCAGAATGGCATTTTCAAGTGGGGGTTTGAAGTAAATGTAGGCTACTGTATAGGTACATACCAATTATTAGTTAAATAATAAAACTTATGATGGTAAAAACAGGGTTAAAAAATAAATTTCTTACTTTGGTTGAGTTGACTTTATAGAAAAATAAATAAATGTCAAATATAGGCCTATCATTGAAAGAATAAATAAAAGTAACATTATAAACCAAATGTTAAAAACTTACGGCAAATCAACTGCACCAATGCAGAGTTCTGCAGACTCCACTTCTTTCATCCTCTTCCTTCCCAACTAAATTCTCTCGCAAGCTCATTTTTGAATAGTCTTACAAGGATCCGTCTTGTTGAGTCCTCAACACTGGCCCCGCCAACCGTGCGAAGATAACTGACCTGAAACACATTATAAAAATGCTTAACTCTTCAACCTCTATTACTATTATATTTGTTTAACAAGTCTGGTGTTTTATAAAAAGCTTTTTTGTTTAAAAGTACGGTATGTTATTATTTTCAACAAGGATGGCAGAAAAGTTTAAGTTTACAAATCTGTTTGTAAGAAGCTTAGATTTTAGGACCTTCATTTATAATAAACTAGTGTAGGCCTAGCCTACATGTTGCTCGAAATCGGGCAAATGCAAAGAAGTAAAGTAGTGTATTTGGGCCCAGCATTTAGAAAAAGAAACGTTCGAGATTCCATACATTATTTAGAACAACAAAATCAACTAAATTGTCGCTGTGTCGCTTAGTCTCACCCGAGGAATTCAACTACTCGTGGCCAGATCTGTCACTAGTGTTTGCTCTCTTTTTGTTGTGTGAAGTTTTTAGAAAATTACTTAAATAGGAGTTCCGTGATGAGGATGTCAAACAATTAATTGATTAAGAGGCCGCCTTTATATTTAAAGTCATTGAAAGACTGTTCGGATATTAATTTGAAGAAGAAGTTGTGGGATGAAGTGTCCTTGGCAGTTACTAAAGATTGGAACAACCACAAGAGGATAAAATAAAAAATCACAACTTCAACAACAAAGCACATACTACGGCTGTATCATTGAAATCCATTCGGTACTGTTAACGCTGTTAACGAATGTAATGTCTAACTTACGTCTTAAAGACTTTAGATTCACGACTAAAAAGTTGCCCGTGTGCGCACTCCAGCTCAACTGTTGCTAGACTTCAGAGTCTCCGAGTCGGTTGCGCAACAGTCCCCCGATTAGTCGGGCAACTGTTGCGCGACTCAAAATCGCCTGTGTGCGCCTGGCCTAACAAATATTATAAGACTCATTGTGTTTACTTTTGATTGTTAATTGAATTACCCGCTTAGTAACTAAAAACGTAAACCATCAATTAAAGTTTAACTGTTACTTACATACCATACACACTTATATTTCCAATGGTGCGTTCTTAAAAGTAAAATTGGTTTAGTTGTAAAAAAGTGTGAATTTAAACATAGTTTTAATTTATATAAGTTATAATTGCAAACATTTAAAACTCCAAAAAGTCAATACCGTAAAATGGCTGGTTTTTTCTACATTTTTTTTCGGCCAACTCGTCAATAACTTAACATCATCAAAGTTCATTTTCAGATTTACCTACATCACTTTCTGTACACATCATCATTTAGGCCTAAATGATTTTAATGACCGTAAAAACTAGGCTACTTATTTTAGGAACTTTTTGTAACACTTTTACCGTACGAATCTTTTATGTCGCCCTCTTTCTAAACTCACTGCCACTT